GTTGTTAAATATATGATAAATAAATATATGAATCTTAAATAGGTGAGCAGGATCGCTTATCTAATGTTTTTTAGGGTATTTACATAAATACCCAAGTATTAATTACATATATACCTATCAACTGAACTTTGTTTTTTATATTTATACCACCAAAATCTTTCATATATCACATAAAATATACCATAATTTTAATTTTAAAACTGAAAACACACCTTTCATGGATGGTTATGCATGGTAAGGTGGCATGCATGTAATAATTGACAGTTAGACGCTGATATGTAAATACAACAGAATTGAGTGGCATGTATGTAAACTTTTTTTAGTTTTTTTTTTGAGAGTTTATCATCAGCCATAGCATTTAACTAAGGCTACAGCTAAATGCTTGTTTCCTAGTTAAAATTAATGATGATGCCAGCAATTGTGAGACTGTCATTGTTTTACCATGCATGTAATTGATAGCCATGTCTCCACCGAAAATAGAAGAAAACACTCAAGTTAGTAGTTTCCTTCTATATGTTTACTAGAGCACACAAGGTAGGGGATTCAGTTTGATTTGGGACTGTAGCAGAGATTTAGAAAGCCGTCTCGTGACTTGTTGGACTATCGGGAGTAGTTAATTGCCTCAAGCAGAACTGAGACTTGCTGGAATTTTGGATTTTGAAATCAAAGTTTGTCATTCTTAGCTAGATTTTTTAAGTTTTTTAGAATTGTTAGCGTTGTTTTGTTTGATTATAAATAAGAGATTTGCAGACATATAAAATTTATTTGGCTAAATAGGAATATGATTAATCAGTGTGAGAATGGGATAATCTTTGGTAATTTTTATATGCATAAAGTATAGGTGTTGGGATGCCATTAGTAGAATTCACGTTGATTGGTTGAAGTGGAGGAATGCATCGAGTCTACTTTTTAAAAAATAAACTACTAAGCATAATCATCCACTATACATATTGATAAGTACTGACAAATTTTAATCTTCTATAATTGTTGCTCTAATATGTGAAGCTACATCTATGTTACAGATGAATATTTATAATTTGAGAATTTGGATGTATAACAGATTATATCCAGGATGAAAATGATTCACATATGAGTTTTTGAAAGGCGTTGGGAAATTCATGCTATTGGCATCACAGTTGTCCATCTATCATTCGGATGATAAGTTTTGGTGTTCTTATGCAAAGCACAAAATACCAAATTCCTTATGCAAAGCACAAAATTCCAAATCAAAAATTTGGGATTTAAAAAATTTGAATTAATCAATGTAAATTCGAAGAAGTTACATTGGATATTTAGCACTAGGGATTCAAACCAAATTTTTTAAGTTGTAAAGATCCTTCACCTGGCTCCTAGGGCACCACCAAAAGATCCACCGTATCTTCGAGATTAGGGGCAGACATCGCCTTGGAGACATGTTCACGACAACCAGACCACTGAAGGAGCGAGCGGTCTGCTTGGATCGGTGAGAGGCTTTGGAGTTAATTGACCTCAACCTGAGCCTCTCCTGATTATAAGAGGAAGAGACAAATGAACCAGGAGATGGAGGGGGTCATATGAGCTGTGCTCCATAATGATTGATCAGTCCCCCACACGGGAACACTATAAGAGGCTAGTAAGATTTTTCTAAATATTTAAAAAGTAATTCAAAATTTGAAGTGATTTTATAGCGCCAAACAATTTTGTAAGCTACACAGGTCAAGGAGTTGAGTCGTGCGCCCTTCGTTGCAGAGATGCATGTCTGAACTCATTGGTGCCTGGAGAGTGCGCAGTGAGTCTCGGAGCATTCCCGACGGGTTGCTACACGTTAAAAACCTTAAATTATAAGTTTATTTGACTTTAACTGTTACAATTTTCAATTAAACATTGGTTTTAACTATGCAAGAGGAGTTTGAGCAGCTACAAGAGAAGCCCTTGGTCACTTAGGCCTAGACCTCCACCACCAGCAGTGGTAGTCAATCTACCATTACGCAGTCCTAGTACGAAATTTTGACCCAGACAGCGAGAAAGAAGGGAGACGGTTATGGCCATAAAGCGAAGGTCATAATCATTGAGGCCGAGCTCTTCCATGATTTTGTACAAAGTTCCCCTAGCTCAACATAACTAGACCAGGAGGCCCTTGCCATACAGATGACATGTGAATATAATTTGTGTATTTAACATCTTTATTTTGTCAAATTGTATGACTATGTTATGTTTTTGGGAGTTATTTTGTGTTGAAATGCATGTGACAATAGAAATGAACAATTAGGATTCAAAACAAGGCAAATAGACTAATTTGATTTGTGGTGTCTAGGTGCTAGGATTGGGCGCCTAAACGCCACAAATAGTTCATGAAAGTTCACTTTCCCGAACGATGGGAAACTTGGCGCTGCAAACATAGCTTTGGGGTGCTATAGTTTTTTATAAATTAGATTATAGGTTGCACTTTACTTATTTATTATCTCAAATAAAAAAAAGTTAAAGACTTTTTCTTTTCCTCCTCTAGCTTATGATAGAGTTGTCCTCTATCAAATTATTTATTTTATAATTAAGGATGCTTCTCCTCATTCATGGATTCTCACAATAACAATACTTTATCTGGAAATATTAATTTCTCTCATCCTATTTTTGTACAAAGTTACCCCAGCTCAACATAACTAGACCAGGAGGCCCTTGCAAGACAAATGACATGTGAGTATAATTTGTGTATTTAACATCTTTATTTTGTCAAATTGTATGACTATGCTATGTTTTTGGAAGCTATTTTGTGTTGAAATGCAGGTGACAAGATAAATGAACAATTAGGATTCAAAACAAGGCAAATAAACTAATTTGGTGTCTAGGTGCTAGAATTGGGCGCCTAAACGCCACAAATAGTTCATGAAAATTCACTTTCCCGAACGATGAGAAACTTGGCGCCGCAAACATAGCGCTGGGGTGCTATAGTTTTTTATAGATTAGATTATAGGTTGCACTTTACTTATTTATTATCTCAAATAAAAAAAAGTTTCTTTTCCTCCTCTCGCTTATGATAGAGTTTTACTTATTTATTATCTCAAATAAAAAAAAGTTAAAGGCTTTTTCTTTTCCTCCTCTCGCTTATGATAGAGTTGTCCTCTATCAAATTATTGATGCTTCTCCTTATTCATGGATTCTCACAATAACAATAGTTTATCTGGAAATATTAATTTCTCTCATCTTATTTTTGTTGGTGATATGCTAGTTATTGGAAAAAGTTAATATTAATACCATTAATGGCCTTAATTCTATACTTAATGCCTTTCATTTGGCATCTAATCTTTTTTTATTTCTACCAAATCAATCATCTGACTTTTTAAAGCAATAGCTTTTGACTTAGAATAACAACATTGTGCAGCTTGCGAGTTCTTATTAGGGTGCTTTCTTAGGATTATCTTGGGGTACCTATAAAGGCCAACATACTCAATGCTATAGGTTGTCAAAAAATATTACAAAAATGCACACTTATCTTTCATGTTAGAAGCAAACACTTATTTCAATTGCTATAAGATTTCAATAGATTAAAATTTTCATGTGGAGTTATATTTACTCTTTGTTTAGATCTGGCAATATTCAGGTGCCTAAAGAAGAAGGTTTAGATAGAAGGTTGCATACTATTGTTTAATGTGCCATCACCATGCCTAAGGCTTTGCAGAGGCCCTGGCCTTCCTAGTCTTGATACTATTAACTTAATTGTGTATAGCTAAAATCATTTGGAGGCATTACAATTCTAACTCTTGTCTTTCCAATTGTTGCATTAATCATTATGTGTCTCTTTGACATAATAAAAATTATAGAATTTTTATTTTTTGGAAGGATTTGATGAAGATGCATGACTATAAGAAAAAAGCGTTGTTTAACATTTTAGGTTACCTAGCAATTTATTGTTCTTTTTTCACCCTTGGTCAAATGATACCTCTATTTTTAAAAATTTTGGTGAAGTTTTTCTTAGTTTTTCCTTTTTCATATAATCATACACCTCATACTAAACTTCATAAAATTATTTCTAGTGGCAGTTGAAAGTTGGCCCCTAAAAGTTTGGTCTCAAACTATGGTGTTTAGCTTATCTATAATATCCCCATTTTAGATTATGGAAAATTTTGTCTTTACTTGCTCTTATCACTCTGCTCGCAAAAAAAAAAAAAAAGAAGATAAATTTCTTAAAGTTGAGTGGAGTAATCACTTTTGGTTTAAATGCTGCTCTATTAAATTTGCTTTTCTTATTTGAAAAATCATCCGCATTAGGCTCAAAACTAGTGATATTCTATTTGCTAGGCATTTCGGCTCATTATATTTGTATTTTATGTTTTCTTTCTAGAGAAATTCACATCACTCATTTTTTCAACGTCCCTCCTCACTAGTGTATTGAATGATTGCATACATATGGTAATTTTTTTCCTTGAAAGTGGAAATAGTTTTCATATCGTTTTTCATGTCGACACTTTCGGCCGTGTATGGAATTCACTCTAACTGCAATGATATGTGATAATATAATGGGTTATTTCAAATTGTTCACTGGGTTGTAGCCATATTTGGATGTCTTAGGTGATACTTTTTTTTATCTTTGGACAAAGCTTTATATATCATTTGGTTTTTGGCCTTTTGGCTCGTTGCTCTTTTTTTCCAAGAGCTTAGCCCCTTGCAGCCGTCTGAAATTAAGCAATTCGTTGGTCGAATCTGATTTTCTCAATGGAGCCACTATTGGAGTATTTTGTTAAGAGTATTTCGTTTTGCTAGTGTTTTCTTTTAAAGATTTTACTCTTGTAGAGAGGCATTATACGTAGATATGTAAAACCCAAAATCCTTCTATTTTAATTTGAAACTTGTAGTATGACAACCTTGAATATTATGTAGTTTAATAATTATAATGAATTCTTTTAGATTTAAGTTTGTAATTCTACAATTAATAAATCGTCATCTGCAAGCTCCCACAACCCCAACAAAATAACAATTATGCATCGGAAATATTTAACTACTCATATCATTAATACAATTAACATAGAACCATGCATAACAAAGTAATTGCCCCACATTACACACATTTTACAACCGAAGCCCGGCTCACAAACAAATCTCAAAGCGCGGCGGTTCCAAACCGGTTCGATGTACGCTGCCGCTTGAACCGGTCAACCGAGCGATTCCGATCGTCCAACAGAACTTCTCGAAGCGCAGCCCGGATGGCCGACCGCGCCTCTCCATCGATCGCCGCTGATCCTCCCACCAACTCCAGCTCCAACACGCTCCTCGTCCGGCCCCCAACTGTCGTCATCTCTGCTCGAACCGCCCTCGCTCGAGCCGCCACCACCGCCTGGCTAAGCTCCCCCATTAAACCGGGCCGGTCGGCGCAGCACACCCACGCCCTCACCCTCCCGCAACCACCCTCCACCATCTCATCTTCAACGCCAACCTCATCTCCCTCACAGGGAACCGATGAACTCGCGACTTCATCAGCTATGCCCCTCAGCTCCCTCACGTGCCTCACCACCTCCCCGAGCAGCGTTGCTTTATCCATCTATAAAAATTAATTACCGATTTATAATTAGCATATGAAAAGAAAAAAAAAAGAATTTTTAAGTTTTATGTATTTATATACTCTGGCGGCAGATGGGAGTAGGGATCGAAGTGTGGCGAGGTGGCCGTTGATGCGTTGACGACGCTTGCGCTCGGCCTCACTATGGCTCCTGCAGGAACGCGCTGCCGGAGAGCAGGAGGCGGTGATCGGAAGTACGGCGGCGCCATCGGTCTCCATTTTATCTTGGTATGAAGGGGCAACTTATCGCAAGGGTAGTTTGGACGTAGGAGAAGGTTGAGAACGTGTGGAGAGGGGAAAGAACGGGATATACGAGTAAAGGAGAGTGAGATTTGCACTGGAGTACGTGCTTTGCTTGTTGGATGAGGTTTAAGTAGGCGATGGGCGGCGGGTGACTTTTCGAACAGGGACTGCGTTTTATGGTATTTTACATTTGTGGGTTTGTTTGTGAAAGTGTAATTATATATAGAGGGCATTAGGAAACTTTAGTAATTACCGATTAAAGAATTTTTGTTACAAATCTCAATGTTAATGCAGTGTTTATAATTACTCCATGAGGAATTCCTTCCTAATTGCTGAATTGTTATAGGAAGTTTGTCCAATTTGGTGGGACTAATTTGCTCCACAAAAATTATTTATGTAATTTTTTTTTAAAATTATCTTATTTATATTATGTAGTTATTTATTTCTATTTACTTATTTTGTCAGGATAAGATGACTTGACATGCGGCTTTAAGTACATTGAGAAACAACGAAGGTAATCTTGTTGATGCGAGGGAATTGGACTCAAATCGGACAAAAGAAATTTGTACACGTGATCTAATCCGAGCATTGTGCCCATATTTTTTTTGTTTAAAAATTATTGAAAATATTGTTTGTAAAGCATAAATAATTACTTGAATATAATTGAAGATGCTAGTTTATAATTGTTTTTGGTATTGTCCATACCGTCTGGTCTTTTGTTTTTATTAAGAAATGTACTGCCCTCACCGCTAAGTTTTCACTTGTTTTTTTTTTTCTTTCTCCAGCATTTTCATAACACCTCCGAATAATATTAGAATGAAAAAATTTAAATCGGTTGAGAGATGTGGTCATGATTTATGAGGCAATAGAGCCATTAGGAATAAATGGCAATTGTTTGAGCGCTGCAAACGTGCTGTTTGAAGAGAAAATATTCCGGATACCGCACGTCTAATCGGCCAATCACTAGCGGCTATCTTCCCATATATGTCATCGGGTGGCCGCTGGTGTTTGGTTGTCCTGACGAAAATTTTTTAACTGTCTGAGCGAGCTAAAAAATTAACATATTCATATTCAGCTTACTTATTTAATGATTGTTTGAATCTGAATTATTTAATGAGTTGAATATGACTTGTTCATAAAAAATGAGCTTTTTTGACGCCCTAAGTTACATTTCATGAAGAATAAAATAAATATTAGGTGTGGATATGATATGTGCAAATTTAATGGTATTGTTATGATTTTATAGGAGATATTTTAGTACAATATAACTTTCCTTTAAATATATTAATTATTCACCATGTCATTTTTAAAGAAGATTACAATTACAAAATAATAATGCATAAAATTTAATATTAGATATATGTATGTATATATATATATATATATATATATATATATATATACGAAAACTGAAATATTACTGATGATTTCGTAGCTCTTCTTAAACGATCATTCGACCGTATGCATTCCATGGAAAAGAAATACTGTCTAAAGACGACCTAATAGGACAAATAAACACGTATGAAGACGTCTACCTAACTTGTCGTGTTACTTGTCTTAATATATTGATGAAGTTTGTCCAACTATTTTTCTTCTTGTTTTTTTTCCCCACTCATGACGCTATAACTCTTTTATATAATCACCTTTTCTATTGGGTCTGCGGCGCAGGAAGAAAAATATTCATCGAAGAAAACAAAAACATTCACTCAGACAAGCAGGATAAAATATTGAAACATCAATCACAATGAAAAATATATATCAATTTACCAAATAACAGTTATTTATCTTCTTGAATTTAATATTTTAGAGCTGCATTCAATTTACCAAATAACAGTTATTTATCTTCTTGAATAGAGCTGCATACTAGAAAATAAAAGTAAAAATTAAAGATTGCGGAGATCTTCTAAATAAAAAGATGAAAAATTCATGGGACCTAACTGTCATAACATCTTGCTAGCATGTGTCAAAGAATAGTAGGAGAAGTTAAATAGGGAACGTTAAAAATGATGAGGGAAGATTGGGTGATCAACAAGCTGAACTTTAGATGTTGATGATTGAAAGATGTCAAGTAGCAGTAATTGGGAAATGTTGAAAAATGGTTGACTATGAACAACATAGTTTAAAAGATGATGTACAACTAGCTGGCTTATTTACTTTAAAAACAAGGAATCATGCAGTTTAAAAGATAAATATTGAATATTGATGGTTTGATGAATGCCATAAAGCAATCACTTTTTAGATTTTCAATGGTAGTTGACAAGGATTGCTAGAAGTTACTGGCTTGCTCTCCAAATAGGAGGGCAGACCCAGCAATCTAGAATATGGATGACCAGCATAAATCACAAGTTGACATTTTGGCCATAATGAACACACTATTTTCTTGCTCTTCGGATAGACAAGTAACATATGTCGATTGTTGTCTTTCATCGAATGATGGGTAATATGAAATACAAATTTCTAACGGTGATACATGATTTATTTGGTCATTATCTTCATGAAAAGTGAAATTGAAGGATTAGTGTAAAATAGTAGTCATTTTATGTGTAAAATTAAATAAGGAATATCAAAAGTTAGGTGATTATAATTTTTTGTCTTATTTTGTTGTCTTAATAGAAGAGAATATTGCAGAACTATAGAAATGAGCATTAAAAATCAATATCAACATTGTAGGGTTGTTACAGCCAATTGTATTGATTCACATGCCCACCATTTTTTTAATCAATATAATATACATTTTCCCTCACAATGTGCAATTGTCTTGAGCTAATGAATCATGACTAAATATTATAATTTAATTGCAATTTGTCAAGAAAAAATAAATAAAGAACAGAACTCTCAAAACTAGTAAAACCTTGATTTGCAAGGAAATCATGACGCCATTCACTACTATTGAATTTTTTATTATATAAATGATAGACTTTTATTATCATTTTTTATAAATTCTAAATTTATTCCCACACCTTCAAATTATTATTGTTTTCATAGGCACACAAAAGATGAATTCCCAACAGCATTTGTTGCTTTTGTCAAGACGAACAAACTAATAATTCCAAACATATGTCGAATCATCATTAACTTATCGCAATGATATAATATGGCCTAAGAACTTAAGTTTTATTCTAGATAATTTGATTATTGGATTTTAATCTATTAATATAATTGTACTTGTGACATTGAAAACTTTAAAATGTTGTCTTTTTTTTTTAGTCAGAGACTTCATAGGTGCTAGAAATTGTTATTTCACTATTAAACAAGCATTTTGATCGCATGTATGATCAACTGTGATCAGGCTAGGCTAGTGCTAGTATTCTCTAATCACTTTTTGACAAATCAAGAGCATTATTTGGCCTACTTGTTATTAATAATAGTAGTAAATTTTTTGACATAACCCATTGCAAGGATGAGATTCTCTCTTCAAAATAAATAAATTCATATAAAATTACCTTATTTTTTCACATCATATGCCAAACACATTCATAAATCATAGAGATTTTTGGAGTTATGAATTCTTATAGAGTTACTAAATGACCGCAAAGTGCTTGTGGACCCACCAAACATCTATCAACTAACATTATTCGATATCTAATATCAACATATGTTTGTCAACCAAGATTTTTTGACTAACATTTGTTGGCTTGCATCCTTCGCTTGGCACAAATTTCCACTTTCAATCTATATAGCAAACATCTAGTGCTTACTAACTGATGGTGGTTGGTGGCCTTCTATCAAGTTTTATTTACCGGCTTTAGCAAGGAGAACATAAAAGTTGATTTTTTATGTTTAACATTCAGAAAAATTGTTGTATGTGAAATAAATGTATGATTCTTTCATCTTGTAGAGGAAAAGTTTTAAGTTGATTTTGTTTTTGGCACCCATTATCATCAATTAGTATCGAAAAATACAATTGCTTGATTTATGCTGATAAACACAACTTGAAAAAATTAAAAAAATTAACTTAACGATATATTGATTTATTTAATATTAGTTTAAATAAATTTAAGAAACCAGCATTGTTGTCATTTTGAACGGCCACAATTTATTTGATCTGGTGTTGTCATCCGTTATATAAGCAACTTTCATAAAAATTAAAAATCTTCAAATTCCCGTAATGGAAGGCAAGCTTTTACGGCTGATTTGGGCGGCTGACCATTCCAACTTAAGTCCCCCAAATGGGAGTAAATGAATCTCCTTTTCCAAAAGTTCTTATAAACTTCTTTATTGTGATTTCTTGAGATAGATTATTTTTTATTGCAGTGCTCTTATGTTGATTTGTTAGGATATTTTAAATTTGTAATTGTTATAAGGTTAGTGCACTACAAAAATTTAGTCCATTTATGATGGTCAAGTTTTGTCGATTTATACAAAATAACTTATGGGTTATTGATTTTCCGACGAGTTACCGACTTGTTTATATAACACAGCAAAAATATTTATCAATATATTGAAAACCGATGGCAATTCCAACGTCTGTCGATTTATGTAGAAGTAGTGTCCATCAATTTCGCATCAGTTAGGCAATAGTAATATAACCGACGATATAGGTCGTCGGATATCGCGATAATTGCTTAATAAATCGTCAACAGACCAATGAAAAGTTATCGGAAACCTATAGCATCCGAAAAAATAAACAAATCTTCTCTTTTATAGTTATGATTTTCACATTTGAAATTGACACGACAAAAAAAAAACTATAACTACATCATAGTTTAATCAATCCAAACATTTGTAGGATTAAAATCGCAATAATGAACTTCCAATTGAATAGGTAAATAGAGGAAATGTGTATAATTATACATACATATATAAGTGTCCAAAAAAAATAATAAGTTCAAGTTTTTAAGAAAAAAATTATACAAATGTTAAAAAAAACACATTAACCATCCTCGATCAGCCCATCATCACCATCCTCCTCATCCAATTGATGCTTCCCCCTCTATTTTGCCCGATGTGAGAATTCATACATCTAAATTCCCTTCAACTTAGCCTCCATATTGGCCTCCAATTCCGACCTCATATGGGGGAATCAAGTCTCCATCTCGGAGGCAAATGCAACTACCAGTCAAGAATCCTCCTCCTCCTGTGCAACAGAAGTAC